CTGTTTTTGTGCTGTGAGATCCTGCCACTTTTAGCGTCGAGCAGCCGCCGGTATATAGATTGTTACGTGCAACGCAAGTTTTTCTCACAAGACTGTTTTTCCGAGAAACGACCTTTCGTTTCGGCGACAAACTGGGCAGATGGGGGAGAGCAATTCTTGTTGTAATTGCAAAAACTCAGGTAGGCGATTCTTCTTCTTGCAGCAAACATGACGTCACTACTAAGAGTATTAACTGCAGTGAACAGAGTCTCCTCCAGAACGCACGCAGCCACTGAGACGACAAATATATAATTGTTCCGATTATTTTCGCGCACCCACAGAGCATTAAAGCACAGAACTGTTTAAATGGCCGGTTATGCACTAGTGGACGAAATTCTTATAAATATTCTTCATAATGAGCTAGTAGGTTTAGGGCTAAGCATGCATAAAACATTATTATTTTCGTGAGAGCGCCTTGAAAGTTTATACACTTAAAATTATCGCTCAAAATTTCGCCATATTTTAGTTTGGAACCAATTTTCGGTTATACAAAACAATACTTCAAACGAAACCAAAATCTAATGTTAGTGTTTTTAAGAGCTTAGAGTGTAGACGTGTATTTGCAAACATATCTGGCATCCTACTATATATCTGGACTTACATCTGGTTGAAAGGGACAAAGGACGGTGATGTTTCTTGGTGTGTCTGATAGTGGGTAGGTCAGTGGATCATCGTCTGACGACAGAAATGATCCTAAAGCCGGGAAAAGAGTAATCAAGGAAGGATTTGAAAAACCAAAAAGAGAACTTAAATCTCCACTGATAAGTTAAAAGCAGTTGAGGAGGCTATTTTGGGGACGACATTCTTACGAAGGGTTTCATTTTCGCGTAGTAAATCAATACGTTCAAATGCACCTTCGAGGTGGTATAATTAGTAACCATTTTAGTCAGATTCCTAAAGCTGCCTATTGCAGCAGCGGCCAAGTTATAGATAGAGCATTACACGGAATGTCATCTGTTTACTATTCTGTCCAGGTGAGCAGTCTATGTATTTCGTACTTGCATAAAGCATCTGTAGTATGTAATATATTGCGACTAAACATCTACATGTATATCGGAGGTTTCTTTAAAGTCACAAGAAAAGCATGTTTAAGAGAATTCTATAAGACGCCATTAATCGTCTGAGTACTTAAAGGCACTGTGATTAAACGACTAGTACTTAACTCACCTCTTACGCCTAAAAGGAAAATAGAGCAGACAGATATGATCGCTTGCATTCTTAGCACTTTAGCTACAGTGCATTTGAATAAACCCAGTCAACTATATACGGGGATTTTGCGTGGTTTTCTAGCGCGTGTCGTTTGGCACGTTTGGGAAGTTTAACGGTGAGACTAAAAGGCGATAGGTGGAGAGTTTTTTTCCAACAGACATGGCATGGATTCACACGCAACAAGTCGACAGTTTATCAGACTGTTTTTTGCCGTTTGGGGTAAAACGGCACTAGGAGTAGCAGATAACAAATATAAAGCTGAAAGTCTGCATCAAAGTTCAGGGTTATTACATTTGTATTTATATTCTAACGGGGGGTTAGGTACCTTTGCCACCGAAAAGTTTTTACGGGAATTTGCAAACGGTGAGCAGGGAAAAGTGCGAATTAACGCTAGTCTAGATACTCTAAGGTTTTGATTGCCTGTTCTGTATACAGAGATGCCGAAAAAAGGAAATCAGCAAGTGACTTCGGCGGATTTAATTATTTCTTCTGACCCACTTATGAAAACTCGACAAGCGTGGTCAGACAAACGGACCATTTGAATCTTCCAAAACGCGTACTTATTAAATGAGCCTAATAGTCATCTGGTGGATTTTAGGTTGATTGCCTAGGAAAGCCCGCTAGGGCGGTCAGCATAATGTATCAGAATTGGTGGATTTTATACGTTGCAGTAGGCTGGGCGGGTGATTTGGATCAAATGTGATTAAAATCACGGCTCTCGCTGGGGTTTGATAGTTCAGGTGTTTAAACCGTTGACTTTACTCAGTGACTGCCCCTGCTGTAGTTGATCCTACTCTCGCCGACGTCATTAATTTTTTTCACAAATGTGTCGAATGAAAAATTAAATATTTCAGAAACTTGAAAACTGAAAACCCGTAGCTTCCAAACTAGACCTAGAAAGAAGAATAAGCTCTATTCAGGACGAAGTGTAGAATGTTTTGGTTTGTCAAATATGAACAGATAAAGTCCTAGACAAACTCACGTATAGCTTGAATAGAGTTTAGTTAAGATCTATTTAGTTTATGGAATTTATTCAGTTCATTCACGACATGTGTTAAGGACTTCGTCAATGATAATCAGTTCTATCAATGCAAAAAATCAGGGTTTAGAGCGATTGTGAAAAACTAACCTGAAAACTAAGTATCCTCCGTAAGTGAGGGACCCCCTAAAAGAACAATAAAAAAATCATGGATTTTCCGATTAAGCTCATTAAGCAATTCCCTCAAAACACATAAAGAACAACCGCACGCGTGTAATTCACTCGGGTCCCAAAATATCGTACACTGATCAATGGCATTTTGCTCTGAAGGGTCTGGTTTGTAAGTTAGCTTACAATCCTCGCAAAACATAAGTCATGCAATGGGTGTGCTGTCTCGTGAAACGCTGACCGAAATTTTGAAATACGTTTTTGATTCGGAAAAACAACGTAAATAGAGCTGAGCTATTAATGATCGTCAACCATAATTCCTGCCGTTACACTTTCCTTTAGGGTTTCCAAATAATCGGCTGTATACTGTGTCCTGCATAACCCCTTCGCGACCGGCTAACGGATGTGAAGCACACCTAAATAAGTAAGATAAGAGAGTAGACTTTTGACCAATCACCCAAGGGGGTTACATAACTCACCCCTACCGTCATTTGTTTCAGAAAGATGGACAAAAGAGCTAATTTACCCCATAGGCCTTCCGCCTGTCGGCAAGCGGATATTTCTCACGCACCCGTTGCTTTCGAACCGAAGTACGTAAACGATGGTGAAATTGGCAGATTCCATATGTTGCAAAAGCCTGGGCGGATAGACTGACCAAGTATGAACGAACTGACGGCTTCCGGTCGGACCTCGTGGATCGGGTTTTTGGAGCGCTGGCAGTTCTCAAGCATTTCCCTTGCTGTCGTAGCTTTAAATACCCTCGGGGCCGCTGACTTTACTCTATCGATTCAAATAGAAATTGAAATATTTCCGAAACTTAAAACTGCCTAGCATTTAACTGAAAATATTAATCATAATATTAGTCAACTAAAAACCAAAATTTGTTGCCTGACAAATCCCTTTCCATTAACCTATGGATGATAATTAGCTACATTCTGACTTAAAGGGACTAGTTTACCGGAAGTCTTGCAAAAACATTCATCGGTTTATTAGAGAAGGGGGAGATACACTCGCAAACATAATTCTCTGACAGCTTGCTTAGAGTTTGTTTGAGATACCTCTTGCTTGTGGAATTTAATCATTACATCTATGAGGACGTCGTCAGTAAAAAGCAGCTTGTGCAATCTAAAAATTAATTCCCTCAAATTTAGGGTTTAATGCAGCTGAGTACAGCTATAGCAATGGCTTAGCATCCAACATAAATGAGATGATTCCGCATGGAAAAGATATGGAGTGTTCAGTTAAGCTTTTTAAAAAATTCTCCCAAAAAAGAACATTCGTACGCGGGTCTCAAAATACCGAGCTCTGACCAAAAGGAATTTGCCCTATTTTGATCTATTTTATGAATTAGTTTACAATCCTCGCAGGAGTAAGTTCTGCAGTAAATAAACTATCGGATGGAATTTTAACCAAAATTCTAAAATGCATTTGGCGATATTATTACTATGCAGCATGACCCCAGTTGCTACACTTGGATTCACGGTTTTCGAACTACCAGCTGTATGCCTTCTTTTTTGAAAAATAACATACTACTATATGCTATTGGATAGACGTGATATGGTGCTCGAAACAGTTTGCAATTAATGTTGTTCATCTTGTTTACTTTATAAACACCACTACTCAATTGGCCGATGCGATGCTTTATAAATGAACATTTAACGATCTCAAAGATCCCAATAAAACTTTTTAAAACCAAAAGTATTTTTTACCAGTAAAAAAGGCGAAAATGAGGAAATGTTATACCATACGAGTGTAGGTAAGAGACTTTTTGGAGATGTTTTCTATAAAATGATGCATAATGGTACCTTTAAAGTGCTGTTTTTTGAAAGACCGGAAGGAAGCTCGTTCTAAAGGGGACATGATGGGTAATATTGTAACCCTGCTTAATAAATATTTTCGAGTCGAAAACACCTTTCAGAATTTCCGTTAACATTTCGTGAGTTAGAACACCTGCTGCACCCAGCAAGGGAGTGGGTTTACTGACTCTCTTTGAAGGGTTGAAATTGAAAAACTTACAGAATATGCAGATGTATACAGGGCACAAACTAACTGGACAGTTCTGCGTTATATTCTCAGTTAGCTTTTCTCTGTGAGAAACATCTATGTAATTTTGCTCATAATTATAACTCTAACATTAGTTGCAGTAGCGTCAGACAGAACGGTATGAATGAGGCCAGCGCTGCTCTGATTACAAAACCTTGAAGACCTTAGAATGATATATTTTAGATATATATATTTATATATGCGATCGGTGACGATCGGTGAGCGCCCCTCTACCACTGAATATTCCAGATCGAAACCGACAGGAGAACGAACCCGTGGCTTAGTGCTTAGAGGCGTTGAACTTTTGACTAACAGGTCGCGAGTTTGAGTCCTGGTTGTGCCACATTTCGGGGTCATGCATGACCGGCTAATATCGACTAATATGCTTGAAATGGCCATCTCAGTCCCTCTTTTCCTTGTCAGTAATAACATTCTGCATATATATATATTTGAAATAAATCCGCTATTTGGGAAAGGTAAACAAGTTTTACTGTGAATTTTCGACCTTTGTTCCCCAAGTCGTCCTGAGACGTGAAGTAAGTGTGCAATACAGTTAGCAATTGAACATGCCTAAAAAATCTATTTTGCCCTGTCACTCCTGCTGGCGTAATGTTCTGATTGTCCGACGCGTCTTCTGCTTTTCCTTGAGGTTGTTATACACAGCATCCAATTCTACGTGTAGACTGATGCACGCGTTATCAGAATGGATGGCTTCTAAATATTCTCGGCCTTTTTTAGATGAGCGGACACCTAGAGTCCTGTCCCAGGCGAATTTGTATCCCGTTTCCAACGTATGCATGGCGACTTGGGACAAGTGTTCGCGCCTTTTTACGGCCAACCGATGTTCGTGTATTCGCGTAGAGGCTGATTTCCCAGTTTGATCACAGTAAACTGCATTATAGGTTTTGCATGTTGTCTTATAGACGACTTCCTTCTTATCTAAATATCCTTAGGTTGTACAAGCTGGTTACGAAATGTAGTCGTCGGCTTGTGCGCCACATGTATTCGGTGCTTCCTCAGGTGTCTTTCAATAGTTCGGACACATTCTTAATGTGCGGAACAGTTTGCCAGTTTTTTGGTTTGGACGCCTGATCGGAACAATCTAGTTCCTTCTCTTTTTCTTTCAAATCATGTCGTCTTATGCATCGGTGTACAAACTGCCTAGGATACCCATTCTGGAAAAAGAGTCTGAACAAATAATTTAGTTCTGTTGGATGTGTTTCGTTGTCAGGGCAGTGAGTTCTTGCCCGGTTAAGGAGGCTGTTAACGGCACTCCGTTTGTGAGAGATAGGGTGATTGCTCTCGTAATGTAAAAGAACTTCCGCGTTACTGATGTTCTCAAACCGAACAGAGATAGATTGTGTGCACATAAGGTAAGATGTCGTTTGTTGCAAAGAGATGAATAAAAGAGATAATTCGCGCTGTAGAACTATATCTTGTCAGAAAGCGGATATTTCTCGCGCCCTTCCTGCCTTTCAACGAATATACGCGAAAGAATTAGGTGCACGGCGGAGTTTAGATGGTCCACATTTTGGCAAGACGCTTTGGACCGATTAAGTCAATGATTTAAATGTGGTACCTGACCAAATGATGTCCACTGGGACAATTTCTGGTAGGAGCGAGAACGGTGGCTATCTTACCAGACTTCCCTATCACTTTGCAAACGAAACCCGGGCATCTAGCTAGCCTAACCTCGTGTTCTACTACCTCAGCTGCAGGTCTGGGTGGTTTAACTGACCAGCAAACTGTCTCTTCGTTTTTCGAAAATGCAGACTGTCCTCTCCGCCTCGACGCCATGGATGCTGACCCATGATGATTTCGGTCCCAGTTGCGTATTTGAGTATTAGTGTATACTATCAACTTCTTCATTTCCAAGACTTGGGTCATGAACTGAGACCAATCAGGTACCGCTTCAAAGAAATGTTCCCTCAGAGACGGCAAACTCAGGGACACGACGATTGTTTGATTGACATGCTTGGAACTCTACAGTTAAACGATGCAATGCAGTAGCACCCTTTACTTTTTCAATAAAGAAAGTACTTTTTACAGAAGCAGGAGGAGAAGGAAGAGGAAGAGGAGTCAAATCACCCCGTTCTTAAATGAACAGTCTACACTAATAACAGAGGGTTAGGTCTTTCGTGAGTAGTTTTCAAGTAAGAAGCAGGTATTTTTAACTGCATTAGCGATATGAGGCCATAATGAATCCTACTGAAGGGAAAATGATGAAGATAGGCTTCGCAGACAAAATCATCGGCTTTCACGTTAACGGTGAGAAATGTATCTCAGCCACCCTGACCTATTCAGCTATACCGTGACGCAGGACGCAGAAACACCCTGATTTGCACTTTGTTAACTGGCTGATAGATAATACGATTGAATATGCCATATCGTTGCTCGCCAGAAGAGGATTTTGAGCAAGATTTACCTACTGATTGTGTATCACTGGTGAAGAAGCATCGGTATTTTGTCAGCAGCTCAGAAAATGAAAATCTGCTAGACCGCTCTACCCGTCTTTGCACAGCATTGGGAGACTGTTAGCAAAGCTATCGTTGCCTGTGTTACACTCGATCAGCAATCGGACAGCCACTGCTAGCTCATCGACGTGTGCAGTTACTGTATGTCTGCGTTGTTTGGCATCATTGTAAAGCGAGTATTTGTGAAGCCACGGAGGCAACAAAAAACACGGAGAACAGCAACATAAGCAGGAATGAGTAGGTATTCTTTTTCGAAATTTCTGCTCCACTAACGTAGAAACAGAACATATAACTATGGTGTTCAACGTGGCCTTATATGGAAACCAATAGTACTTCTACTTGTAGACGCTTGCAAATTCCAGCCTCCCACAGGTTTTGATAGTTCGTGAGGATAACGACCATTCCATCCCAGTCTTCACAAGGTATGCAAGATTTTTTATTTTACAGCGTTGGCTGAACGGTTATTTAGACCACATGTTTAATTCCGAGCGTTATTATATTAGTTTATCAGCTGTTTGTTTCACACGAACTTACCACCTGACGGTAGTCCAAACCATTATTTTCAAGCCAATTCGATAAAGACGTTTTGAATTCGCGTCGAGTTACATCAGTTGCTTTCGACAACTCACAGTTTCGTCGCACTCCTAGAAACGCGATCATTTCTTGGCTTCATCTATGTCAGCTGTCTGCCCTAAATCTTTTTATCTATGCGAGTATAGCTGAGGGCCAATGGAAAATTTACAAATTCTTTCTCTCTTTATTATAACTACTCTCCATTTGTTACCTGCAGATTGATCTATTGGCAAGATTATGGTACGTAACCCCTTGGGGAGACTTAGTGAGACACAAACCTAACGCCAACCATGCCCGTGCCGTCAATGGCAAACGTCTTACCCGTAATTATTTGAGGAAAACTCGGACGTAGCCGTAATCGTAGGCCAAGCCCTAAAACCCTAACCCTAGTCTTAACCCTAAATCCAAGCCCATGGCTGGCAACCCCTGTCCCAAGGATAATCCAATTAACACCATTTCCAACCGCTGCCCAAGACCTAATCTTGAGCTTAAAACGGACAACGTCAATGTCGATAACGATATTGGAGGTCAAAATCAGCTTCCTGCATGACCCCATTCGCGACCTACTGCCAGACATACCGTCATGAAACACAACTAACCAAGTAAGATAAGAAGGTAGGCTTTTGGGCAACCATACGGGGAGAGAGGTTACATACCCTACCCCTACTGACCGATCTATTGAATGGACAGTTGTCGGCTGTTTGAGTTTTCAGCCTCAAAAATCTATCCCAGATACTTCGAGATTTTCGATAAGTCAACTAGCCGCAGTATTGAACAGTTGAATAGCACCGATAGATTGTACATCGCCTTATCTCACTGTCTTCAGGTCGCAATAAATTAGACCGTGACACTGCGCACTTTGGAATCCACTTCATCTGCCTTTATGTGTTTAGCCCTCGAGTATTCCAAAATATCTCAAAAATAGGACCCATCATACATTTTCTGACTTATTGTATAATGTTGCATACAGATTTTTAGTCATATCCACAAAATAGGCAGTTTTAAAAGCGTTCAAAAATGGCCTCTGCTGATAGTTCGCATACTGTCTATGGGGACTGCATGACGCCTGACTTCGAGACTGTGGGAGCTTGGGGTGATAAGTTTTCATTCACTCGCCCGCAATTACCCAACTTTCTAAGGAGGCTATCAGAATTCTCAGTTGGATGTCGACGTTCTAAGACGGCGCTCGAATTATATTTCGATTTCAGTTCTCCAGAAGCCGACTACATAAACGAAATACTACAGTTGGTGTGATAATTCAAGAAATGCCAACCGAAATTCCGAAATGCGTTTTCGTTTCGAAAAGATTAATAAAGTAGGATTGTAAAACTAATTAGTCTGCAGTATAATTCTATAATAATTCAGTTACCTCAAGACGCCGGCTTTCTTACGAACTTCCTTCCGGCTGCATGCAAAAACCATACTCTGTAAAAAACGACCACTTAATTAGCATGCATTTTTCTAATTGATTTTCGATGCCCCTAGAAGTCCAATTATATTTCATGGAAAGCATGAATAAAAATATTTATTCTTTCGCTCATGCGTTAGATAATTACGTCTTCTTTCAATTTTTTACCCGAAGGAGGGAAATTATTCAGTTTTAAAAAAGTTTCTAATTCCGCGATTTTTAAATACCGTGAAATGGCCATTCATAAAAAGTCAGGTCTCCGCATTTACCAACGTGGATTGTTAAGTTAACAATATAAATCAAACCCAATGCTGAATTCTATGAACACTATATGATCTCCTCCTAATACCGTAGAGCAATGTGTGGTTTTCCGTGCGCGGAAAATACATGGCTTGTAGTTTGGAAACCCTGAATGCAGGTGTGACAGCTGAGCGGGTGCATAATAATTCTGGAATCAGAAATCTTTTGAAAAGCGAATAATACCATTCCTTCGAGTATAAAATTGGAAGAAAACGTAATTGTCTATTAAGTGGGCCGAAGAATGAATATTATTATTCATGTTTTCCATAAAATATAATTGGACTTCTAGGGGCATCGCAAAACAATTTGAAAAATGCATGTTTATTCAGCAGTCATTTTTTACAGAGTATAGTTTTCGCATGCAGCCGGATGGAAATTCGTTCGAAAGCCGGCATCCTGAGGCAACTGAATTATTATGGAATTATACTGCAGAGTGATTAGTTTTACAACCCTACTTAATTAGTCTTTTCGAAACGAAAACACATTTCGGAATTTCGGTTGACATTTCATGAGTTAGTCCACCTACTGTATATCTATCAAACGCCTTCACGCCAACTAGATTCGTTTATCGGGGCACAGGTTTCACTAGCTTTTTATCATCGCAGAATACAAAATACATACATTTATTCTTCTGCTCTAATCTGTTATCACGGGCAAGTTTAATATGTAATTGTTCATCCTTACAGTTCGTCAACAGCATGATGATCCCCCAGGTATGTATGGATTAAGTTGGTCACGACAAACGATCGGCCTTAAGATCTGTAAGCGTCTGCTATGCTTGGATCAGCAAACCATGGTCCTCGCAGCCTGGTTTCCGCTGGCAGTTCTCTGACACCTAGTTCTCTCCTGGTAGATGCGCCTGCGCTCTCTCTGTGTATGCAGGTCGTGATCATCGCTGCTCAGTCATCCTCATCATTTAACCCGTTGTGGTGCTGTTGTTGTTTATTAAAATCCTGGTCAGGTACTTGTTAGGGACCAGAGTGTGCCGTGGTACGTCCAGGTCCGGGATTATTCGTACAGTCCACCTGCGTCTCTCTCACCTCCGGTCTTCTTGTTTCTGTCTTGACAACGGACCCAGGTGGAGAAGAGGGAATGCGCTAGACACTGTGCAGAAATACTACCACTATAAACTACCTCCAGCACAAGTTACCATGCCAGCCCTCACTAGCCGTGGAGTGCACGGTAGATATCGTCCATTTTATGTGGCCAGGAGTATGTGGCATATACAGTAGGTGGGCTTACTTACGAAATGTCAACCGAAATTCTGAAATGTGTTTTCGTTTCGAAAAAACTGATTACGTATGGTTGTAAAACTAGTCAGCCTGCAACAAAATGCTATAATGTTTCTGTTACCTCAGGATGCCGGCTTTAGAGTGTACTTCCTTTCGGCTGCATGCAAAAACTACACTCTGCAAAAAATGACTACTTTAGTGGCACGAATTTTCTCACTTATTTTCGATGCCCCTAAATGTCCAATTATATTGCATGGAAAACATGCATAGAAATATTCATTCTTCCGCTCATTCGGTAGACAATTACGTCTTCTACTAATTTTATACTCGAAGGAAAGATATAATTCGGTTTCAAAAACGTTTTCCAATTCCCGAATAATTTTGAACCTGCTTTGCCGTCACACCTGGATTCAGGGTTTCAAACTACAAGCCGTATATTTTCCGCGTACGGAAAACCACACATTTCCCTACGGTAATAAAGGGGCACTTACTTTAAAGGCTGCGATTATTACCTCCAAGATTACGCAGAAACTCTTCTAGGCTTCTCGTTTTCGTTGACTTAATTTTCAGGTCTGGCGTTCGTCAATGAGGTGGCTGTTAACGTGATGCAGTAAATATTGCTTGAACAACTCCGAGAAGGTAGCATTGCTGTCCATAGGCAATACCGCTTTGCTGACTAGGGGAATGTTCTGCTGATAAAAGAGTAGCATTGTTTAGTTTAGTACATTATGGTACAGCATGTAGGGAGAACTCTCGTCAAAGTACTGCGTCATCCTATGAGCTATCGGACTCTGGTAACACAACTCGTTAAACTGTCAAGATGATTTGTGAATATAAAGTCCAACAACTAGACTGGCGTCCCCTGTTCTGTTAATAGAACCAGAACATGCTGTGTAGAGCGAGATTTATTTTCCATCCTTAGAAGATGGTGGCTAAAACAAAACCTCGAAGACTAGCTCAGCAATACTCCAATTAAAATTTGGTACGTTTAAATCCCTCAACAGTAAGGTTCAGTCGACTAGAGATCTCTCCTTTGTTCTCTATCGAACATAGAAGAATTATAGGCAGAATTTTATTACGACAATGACAAGGGAGACTGAAATGGCCATTTCTGGTTTATTAGCCGTCGTGAGCCAGTCATACCCAACTCCGAAGTGTGAAACACCTAGGGTTCGAACTCGCGAGCTGCTGGTTAGAAGTCCAACGCCTCTAATCACTGAGCCACGGGCTCGTTGTCCTGTCGGTTTCGATCGGGAATATACGGTGGTATAAAGCTATGGTATAGATAAAATTTTATTACCGACGACGACCAATAAGTCGAAATGGCCATTCCAGTCTCCCTTGTCTTTATCGACAAAAAACTCTCCCTAAGTCATGCGGCGCTGTGTGGCTGTTGGTTGGGCTCAAGAGAGAGCCCCTAAGGCACATCGGAACGAGTGATTGTCGTAAGAACAATTGGTGAGTGTCCTCCACCACAAGAATTATAATTAGAACTATTCAACAGTAGTTACTCCAATTATATTTGAACTTTTCACATCTCTACTCTGACTGCTCTCTGCTGTTTCTGTGTTATATTTCTCCTGAAAGATATGCTAGTTTTTCGCGCCATCTTTTAGTTTCACTTATATCACTGACTCGTGGTACTGCAATCATTCGTTTGGAGAGAAATCTGATACAACAAACCTAGTGATCGTTTTGGGGCCTGGGTTTTCTGGACAAAATAGCCCTGTCCCACGTTTACCGCTCGAGACAGTCTTGGTGGACAGTCGTCGCCCACTTTCCACCTGTTTCTTAACATATTGTCTCATTCAAAAAATTGTGCTAGGGACATTCTGTTCATCCTGTCCTGATAAGGATCGATGCTGGAACATCAACTTAGCCTACAAAATGCCAGCGGCATTTGTTCTTTCTCACTGACCAAAAATACTTCTTTTCACTTAAAGCCTTAGGCTTCCAAGATTATTCGGGGTAACCAGAAGGATTTAATGAAAACGATACAAAGGGAGATCTTATTTTATCCTACTTTGGTTAGATAGAGCTGTCTTTATTTTTATTAATAATAGTAAGTGAGATATTGTTGAGACTGTTAGTAAAACAGATGTTTAGTTGTTCATATCTTTAGGCATTTTTTTTCTGCGATCATTGAGTGCCATTATCATATTATATATCATACCCTCCTGGAGTTTTATATTCTTCCACATGGAACTTCTAGGCGTGACAGATATCGGTTGAACATAGGAACGCGCTGACAGGATCCCTCTTTAGTGCCTTAAGGGGTAACAACTAAGGCTCTCTGTCGTCAATGAAAAATTTTCGTCCTTGTCTTGATGTCAGCATAAACGAACACATAAAACAAGTTGATACACCTGCATAATATCCGACCAGGCTGACTTGAAGGAAAACTCGCAAACCTATCTCGAACCGAGTTCGATGGTGAACGACAAATGTTACCCACGTGAGATCCGCGCATCGGCAGTTAACATCCCTTCCACTAATGCTGATAAGGCTGCTTCACGTGTACTGGCCTTCTCCCGCCTGCCGAGTAGTCAGTTAACCAACATAGGTTAGCCGAAGTCTGAAAAAGACTCAGTGGTTTGACTTCGCAGTTGCCTGTGTACACCGTCAGTAGTTGGCCGTAGACAAATGTGACGTGGAACACTAACGTCTAGAACATTTCCGAGGACCTTATCGTAATCCCCCACGGTACCCAATATTTCCTTATCCGACTTGGGTCAATTTCTCCATGTTTTTCAATTATGCTCTGGAGACACCTAGCTTCCTTTCATATGCTTCCATAGATACCTCCCGCCTTGGCATTTTACTTCACATAACGCGGGACTCCTGCACAAAAGCGATTTTCGACTTTCCTCATCCCCAATAGCTTTTCCGCCATTAGATCGCCGAATGTTTGCTGCAAACCTTCAACCAATGATCGAACACCTTATGCAGGATCACACTTGACTGTCCAACTGAGCTTCATTCGCAACCACTGCTCCCGTACCAAGCGAACGCCGATGACTCTAGCCCCCTTCGTGCCCCTCTGTTTGGATGAAACCCACATTGTGATGCATGAGAGGCCTTAAATCCTTGCGTCTCACGTTTATTGCGGCTGTTGCGTTTTTGGCTCGCCTCGCGGGGTCTGGATTGCTGGCGTAAATAGAGAGAACGCATAGGAGGGTTAGATGATACTTGGTAGCCCTCCGGACACCGCAAACTCTCAGCTAACTAGACCGGATGCAATCTCAGGTGTTCTTATACGTCAACCGGCCGAAGAATTAGCCGAACCACCGCGCACTTTCTTTTGAAAATCGCCTAAAGCTGGTAAAATTTCTAATATATGCAAGATGATAAATGTCGTACCCATCCATAAGAAAGGATCAAAGCTATATCCCACCAACTACCAGCCGGTTAGCCTGGCATGAATTTTCTCTAAGCTGTTGGAAAGGATGGTTAAAAAATTAATTACATCGCTCAATACAACATGGTATCTGTAAAAAGAGCTTCTACCTCACAAACCTGATTACTTCGCTCAAATATTGGTCAGAGGTTACAGATAAAGGTGATCCAGTAGATATCATTTATTTTGACTTCAGCGAGACGTTTGATTGCGTTTCACATAAGCGCCTCATTCAAAAGTTGTCAGACGTAGGGATAAAAGGAAAGCTCCTGAACCAGATTCAAGATTTCGTGAGCGATCGCAAACAAAGTTACTGCTGGTGGATACCGTTCAGAATGGGTACTTGTTAAAAGTGGAGTCCCACAGGGGTATGTTCTTGGACCGCTCCCATTCATTATCTAGTTTTAACAACTGGAGTCCCTTAAGCGTCAGTTCTTGGGCCGCTACTATTTGTTATCTGCGTAGACGACATAGTACCGGAAGTTAAGTCGGACATAGCGCTCTTTTCAGGCGATCTTAAACTGTCGAGAGTGGTAAAAGATGAAAAAGACGCCCTCATTCTACAAGAGGACGTAGAGAATTTGCGTGTATGGAACGAGAAACTTAACGTCATAAATGTGCAGTAATGCACATAGCATCAGCAAGGCGACGGATAAGTTTACCCTCACGACAGTATCTCCTGGAAAGTCAGCCTACTGAAACTGTAAATGGGCCAACGACTGAGGCTGTCTGTTTCGCCAAAACTATTGTTCGCAAAGAACTGTTGGCGCTGAATGAGTCCTAATCACCTGGGCCGGATGACACACCGCCCAAATTATTGAAGGAGCTCGCTGGGGAACTATCTAAACCGCTGTTCACGCTCTTCCAAGCTTCGTTCGAATCAGGCTATTCTCCCATCGGTTGGAAATATTCACCGATCACGCCACATTATAAAGACTTCAGCAAAGTCTTGGTAAACAATTACGGATCCATCAGCCTTACTTAATTTTGCTGCAAAGTTATGGAAAACATAATAAAGTGGGAAATAATGACTTTCCTAGAACAGCATAATCTGCTATGCGATGCCCAGCACGGATTACGTAAAGGCAGATCATACGTGACAAACGTAATTTGTTGTTTAGAACGCTGGACCCGGGCCGTTAATAGCGACAATGCAGTTCACGCAGTCTATGTCGATTTTAAGAAAGTATTCGGTAGTGTACCACATCAGCGTCTCCTGTACAAATTAAGCCGAACAGGCATTGGGGGCAATCTTCTGAGGTGGATCCAAGGCTTCTTGATCGGTCACTCTCAAATTTCCCACGCCGGTGAGGGGCAGTCGACGGAGGTAGTGGTTGAAAGTGGTGTTCCTCAAGACTCCATCCTTGGCCCTACCCTGTCCATTATGTACGTCAGCGATTGCGCCAATGAATTGAATTGTGATGTCGCCATGTTCGCTGATGATGTTAAGCTTTGGATCTAATCCGAAATGAATTTGACAAATAGTGCTTGCAGGCAAACCTAAACCGGCTCGAGAAATGGTCGTAGGACTGGCTTTTACCGTTAAATGTGACTAAGTGCAACATTCTGCTAGTCGATGGGAGCAGATCTCCGAGCCGCAGGTTTTACCGCCTACATGACTTACCATTGCAGGAGGTGGACGCCCAGATAGACTTGGGTGTGTGGGTCACCGCTTCACTTAAACCGTCGCTCCACTGCTCCAGGGTAGCCAAATCCGCCATTTCAGTCCTTTACCTTGTCAAGCGGGCTTTCTCAACCTTCGATGAGGACGGCTTCGCTAAAGTCTTTCAAACGTTTGTACGGTCACAGTTAGAATACGCCATTCAAGCCTGGAAACCCTAGACCTCTAAAGACCTCAGCATCCTTGAGAAAGTTCAACGGCGGACTACCAAACTCGTTAGTGGACAGGACTCACTACCCTATGAAACGCGGTTATCCAATCTCGCCCTTTTTCCACTGAGTTACAGACAGCTAAGAGGCGACCTGATACAACCATTTCAAATAATGCTCCCTCAGGACTGCTGTCCCTTACCTGCTGACTTCTGTGAGTTGGCAACAATAACGAAACTACGAGGTCATCCACGTAAACTACGTGTGGCCGGCGCCAGGCTGGACATGCGGAAGTTCTTCTTTTCCAACAGAGTGGTTGAGGCTTCAAATGTTCTGCCACCTCCAGTGGCCCAGTATATCACCAAACATCATAATGCCACCTGGCCGATATCGTCTTAGCGTTTCGTTATAACAGTTTATTATTGTTATAATCGTACTGCCTGTATTTCAGTAACGTCCGATTTTTATTTTTTCATTATCCCAGGTCATTGAATGTGAATGTTGGCATTAAATTCGTCTCCCTCCGAAACTGAGATCGCACGAATATTCGATAGCACAGATTCGATAGCATAGATTGTCTACTGTACAGCACATTCAGTAATGTTAATGATTTCAACACTTGAGACAACTCGTTTTTCTGATCAGTTTCGAAAAAATCTGTAGCTGTTTGATGTTTCCATTTTCAAATTTTTGATATAGTTAGCTTGCCTGTTACAAACAGGGAGTTCAAAGGTTCAACACCTACATTTTCCTTTAATAAACTGAACTGGAAAAAAGACCTTTGCGCATTACTCAAAGACGACTTAAGCGTCACCACTCCATGTACTACAGTCGCAGGACTGATAATGTCGTTTATGAGCGCGATACGGAGAACGCTTGTTTTTTGAATGAAGGCGTCCTCCGTGAGGTATATGGAGTTATTGTGCGACCGCAGATGGAATATATGGTACAGACCTGGCGACCATAGTTTCGGAATTATACAGTATACTTGGAGGTGTACAGCGACGTGCTACAAGGGCTGTTCATGAACTTAAAAATTTTACATACGAGCACCACCTGACCGGCTTGAATCTCTATCCCCCCCACTACGGGCAAGAGGGAAGCGACCTTATATCAGCGTTTCATTTGCTAAGGGGACTTGTTCTGGATGTCAGCTGGAAAGCAGTTCATTAAATGGCATCAATGACTGATATCGGATGACGCAATTACCAACTTAAAAGGAACTGTGGCACCCCAATCAACGCCCCTTTTCCTTCGCCAGTGGAATATTTTACCGAAGCTTGCTGTACATTCAAGAGAAATCTGAATAATCACCTGTTAAGTACCAACCCCGACTCCCTAAACCCCACTTAATGGACTACTAAAGTGACCACTTACATGCTACTAATACAAGCTTAACAGACCGTTTTTTGTACATTAAGTTTAACCCAAATGAAATGTTTACAGTGCGAATGTAGTAAGCGTATTTTTCATTTTTTTCACAAATACCGCGCCATTCTAACATTCGTGCCTCATCATTAGTTTTATGCATTCTACACATCAAAACTACGTGTGAAGGTTTTGCAACTTAACTCCTCTTATGCATACCTGTCTCGTTTAAATGGAGTTTTAAGGGCTTCTGTCATTTACTCCAAATGTACTGAGTAATTTGAAGAAGAAGAAGAAGAAGAAGAAGAAGAAGACAGTTTCAAATGCATCGGGGAGGCCGTTACCTAATAAAAAGGAAAAGAACAACATTGTATACTGAATCGATGCTGACCACAGGGATTTCACGATCCTTATAAAGTGTCTGTGGACCAGACGCGACATCTTAATCGCAACGATGACCCACGTGTCCCGCGAATCCGTTCGATCAGTTCTTCCAACGGTTCTGAATGGTGGGCTTTACGTGTGGAAGTTGAACGTGACATCATCTAAATCGGCTAGTTGTATCAAGTACATGTAGAAATTCCTGATCCCGTCTGACCTTTATTTCTAATAATTTCGCTCAATGTCTCCCTGCGTTACGAAGAGGGACCATTGCAACAAAGAAGGATTTTGTTTCAGAAACGAATGAGACTGTCTCGTTTATGCAGGACACCTACAAACATCACGAACATGCAGGAAAAATGATTCAGCCTTCAATTGTTTCTTTCAACAGGGTCGACCGAATCGCTTGTCTAGTGTTTATGCCAGAAGCTGCACTAAGTCCAATGAGAATTGAATATGCGTGTTGCCTCAAAGTGCTTATCCTGTCCCTGTCTCGTTTTGGAGGAGAAGGAAATAACGATGGTAGAAGTCGGTTATTCTGTAGAGAAGCTTGGCGGCGGTCGGAGCCCACGATGTGCGGTCGACTGGGCCTATGCACGCATCTGTCCGCAGCACCGAGTATGGAAGGGGAAATTCAATGTACTTGTTAATGGACTAGGGGCCAGTAAACCATGATTCAAGTACCTCTCTGCTCACGCTACTGTCACCTCTTGCGAGAATTTCGGCCTCGTCGAATGGGTCGCAACTTGAGAGCTGGTGTCATATCTCAGCACCGCTGCAGCGTGTTCGGCCAATCTCGTTCGGAGCTGTCTTCCGGTTTCCCTGACGTAGTTGCTTGGTTCGCAACTGCAGCAGATCCGATTAACGACTCCAGACGTTTCTAGCCGTGGCAGCGGGTCTTTCGGTTTCATTACCAGACGGCTGATGGTTGTCTCCGGTCTGTGTGCAACTCCAAACCCAAGTGGTGCGAGAAGTCGGCTGACAGCTTCCGAAACTTTCTTGACATACGGATGCGCACGCCAAAATCTGGTGTCCATGCGGTTAGGCTTTTCGTCCCTTTTGCGTATGCACCGGTTGACGAAGTTGTGCGGGTAACCATTAGCTTTGAAGGACCGTTGAGGTATTTTATTTCGGCAATCTTGTCTTCCGACCCACTACAGTGCGTTTCGACACGCCGATACAGTGTCCTTACACAACTGCGTTTGTGGCTGATTGTGCGATTTTGGAATTCGTGGGAGTTTTTAGATGGGTGACCTAGAGGCTGCATGTACTCACTCCCCAGAATCTCGGGAGCCGCGATCAGATGTTCCCAACTGCGTCTGTGACACTATGGGCGGCCAAATCAAACGATACGTATCCATTCTTGTTGAGTGCTATGTACATGGGCGTCTCGGTTGCTTTGACCGAGGCAGTCCAACCATCGGTGAATCGCCATCTTTGTGTTATATCATAGGGTGGAGGAAGCGTAAGATGCGAATTATGTAGTAGAAGGCCACACCACGGTCTCATTGCAAGTGGAAGTTGCCCTACTCGACCCATGCACTTTACCTGAAGCTCAGTCGTGGCTCCACGAAACTATGTAGATTGGCGCAGTCAAAGTCGCAGCAATCGCTCCCATTGGGAGGATAAAGTCAGCTTGGAGAAGTAAGATTGTGGCATGCATAAACAATGAGTGCTTCTAGTTACCAAATGTTCCCCACCAAAATTTCTTGTGCAAATAAGTTCAACCACTGCGTCCTCGTACTGTTATCTTTCAGCCATTTTAGAAATGACAACCAAGATCTTCAAGAAAATTAACTGGGTCACGGTATTTTGCATCCGTATGTGTGCTTTTCGCCTTGATTCTGTGGATGTCGGCTATTTTTCAGGACACACTAACCTTAGCTGTCAGGTACGCAGGCCCTATAGCGATTCTTTAACACATTTCTGAGTAAAGGTCATCAAGAATTTCGTTTTAACGACCCAACCATGACATACTTTCATTGCATCTTCTGAGTATTCCCAACAAGTAGAAGAAGTCCACAAAGTTAGAATTTTTTATTAAGTCTCCATCCAAGTTAAAGTTGAAAGTATCCGACAAATCCAAACAAACACGTGTCTTGCGTTTACGTCTCCAGCCCTCAGGCGGTAATGGCAGAATAAACAGCATTGAGTTACGCAATGTAGGCTAGAAATCAAAAAGCACGAATTGAAAGGACATTCAGAATAAACTTGAGACTATCATCCTAACGAAGTAGAAGGTACTCACGGTTAGATCCAAAGCTCACGTAATGTGAAAGATACTTTTCTCCATAGGCTCCTTTAATTTTGCAAATCACACTGTGCAGGGACCCCAGCTTGCTAGCTCTGTTTCTCACCGTAACAAGCGCGTAGATCATTTCCAGACTGGGCACGTAAACGATGTTACCTACGTGGATTTTAAGTGAGTGCTAAGGCGGAAACTTGGAACATACCGCAGGGCTCCGCCTTTTGTAGACTCAAGCTGCATTGAATGACGCCGTCGACAAAAATTGACAGCTATGTAAAGTTGTCCAGAAAAGTAAGACTGGGTTACAAAACGCGAAACTTTCAAATCCCACTTAGAAAAAATTCATTTTGACATATTTTTTATATCTTCTGACCGTTTATTCATTTTGTGTGATAATTGCTACATTGCCGCGCAGATATCCGTTTGTAACTTTTCACACTGGCACTATAGTTTTACTTTCAATCTAGGATGCTAAAAGCGGTATATTTCTTTGGAGGACTAACACGGTAGTTTGATATCACCTTGTTAGAAGGCAATAAAAACGATAGGATCAATATTATCTGAGGCCACTGCTGAGTAATCTATTATGTACGTCCTAATCGGTCTGTTTTCGGTCAAGATAAAAAAGCCCAACGACTCGTTAAACGCCTTATTGAATATTATGTCGGCTAGACGAATGGTCGAACATTATTCATGCATGACACATTTGGCTTCCAAAGTCAGGTAGTCTACTAATTATGATTCATAGGAAAAGTAGTTGGAACACACGTTGATGCCATACCTTCAAAGCCAAGGGATCTTTCGGCACTTTGATAGCACACTTAACAGTCCGGGTACTCTTCTTGGCATCCGTTATATGGTAGAAGGGTTTTGAGTCCAGAAAAGAAAATGTTTGATCTAAAATGTTCAATAGCATTTTCGAACGAAACGAAACATAGGAAGAAGGCGAAAATGTACAGTAGTGCGATTAATCTACTTTTTCCGTAGCGATCTACAATGTGAAAAATTGCGAATACGGTGGAGGCAGGTCCAAAACCCTCGCGATAGTCGCGTAGCGACCAGTAATGACGAAGAAAGGAATTTCGACAAAGACAAGACAGGCTGGGTTGACAACTTTTTGACTAATCAGCCGTTGAAAAGCAGCCTTATCCAATATCAGGTCTGAAAATACGTCAGATTCTCGGTCAAGTTATAGGTCAGCGTTAGTCAATTGCAATTTCAGGATTCGAAAGTCTCTTATTTATTTTCCGTTTATAGATTACGATGCTGCTCAGTAAGTTACAACACTATTGCGCCGACAGGTGCAGTGGGACCTTGCACATAAACCCTATGAGAAATAGGTCGTATCAGGCTACCGTATGGTCGACGGAGTTTGGCAGCGCATACTTAATCAGATTGATGGCTGTTAGTGAGAGAATTCAGCACAATATACCCCAATACTGCTTTCCTTTAGACAATCTCATAGAAAACGGTCGAAGGTGGTGGAGTTCCCTATGCTCAACCGACATGCGTATTTACTGTTGAAACAAATTAGGGGGGCAAAATACTTACAGAGTTTGGTGCGACTGAAAGGGCCACCTTGTATCGTAATGGCGAACTTCTCGTGGTTTGGAAGGACCACTAACTGTGTAAAATTTGTGTTTGGAAAGGATATGATCAGCCGCCACATATATCCCACTAAATGCAAGAAAAAGGCGGCTCAGCATCTTCTAATAATTTAGCGGACAACCATAAGACGTGGAAATACTTGCAAAAAGCGGATCAATTATTCTTTAGACATTAATGTAAGATACATTCATACCTTGTACCGTTTTGCATGAAAAGCTTGTTTGTTGGCTACTGCAGATTTTTCCGTCAAGTTGGTAAGTTTCGTCCGCGATAAGTTTCTGAAGCGAAACAGCTAATCTTTTTAGCGTGTTTGAAAACAAATTATAGAGCTAATAGAGCAAATATAGTAGTTAGTTATATATGCAAAACCACGTGAGGCTACACGACCTAGTCTTACTTAGATTTTAGAATTCCTACATGAATAGGCAGGACGAATTTAATTATAATGTCGCGTGGACGCTAGGGCTCAAAAGACTTTACCCTCTACTCTTACTCTGCTGAGCAGAACTATTTTAATCTAGGTTGTTCGGAATATACTTACAGTTTCCATTTAGCTTAAATAATTTTGTGATGGTCCTGTGGCATATTTTCTGACCACTTTCTAGAACTTCAACCTCGGGATTGTCAAAATAACTGGAAGTTTGTCCGTTTCGTCCTACTGGTAGATATCAAGATCGAATAGCTCACGAATTTCAGCCAAAATTCCTAACCTGAAGGGCCAGTACAATTTGTCTGAGAGCGATTTGTGTCGGTAAGCCAACTTTACAGAAAATCAATTTAAAAAGCAACTTCACTTGGAACAAATAATGTTATTTGTATGTCAAAATTCTAGTTGGTGTGATCAAAAATGTGTTTACAATGCACCCAAAGTCATTCTGTAGAACTATCTATTGAACATTATTTTATGTGGTCAATGGCAAGAGTGCGTGTGACTTCATGCAGAATTTTGAAATGTACCTTTGTGCTGTTTCGAAGACACCACAATGAGTTCATAAAATTTTGCGATAGATGAATATCATTTTGTGTAAGAGAAGATGAAGGCACGATCACTGGGACAGTAGATTTATTTGCCTGGGCTTTCGAACTCGAACTGGAGTTCATCATCGGAGACTACTTGGATGCAGCAAATCGTGAACAGGCCAGACAGGACGACGTCTCAGCTCACGAATACTTGAGCACAAACGGGCCGTTCGGAGAGGCGACCCACTATCTCAAGTAGCCACTCACACGCTGGAGGAAGGCCATGAGTTCGAATTCGCCAACAAGCGGATATTGGCGCGAGCAGGCAACAAGACAGGGCGAGAGCTGTTGGAGGCGTGGGTGTCGGACACATCGACTTGCCTGCGTGTTATCACGCGCTCCGCCCACGCAGCCAGGTGGCGCAGCTCACATCGTCGCGAAGTACAAGCGGCGTCACCACGCCGGGGGACCATCGTGGACCAGGCGACACAAACCCTACTTAGCCACGGACGTACTTCCCCCCCTCCCCCTCAAGTACGAGCGATATAAATGTTCACAATTTGCTGCACCCAAGTAGTCTCTGATGATGAACTCCAGTTCGAGTTCGAAAGCTCAGGCAAATAAATCTACTGTCCCAGTGATCGTGCCTTCATCTTCTCCTAAACAAGAACCTGGGATGCGCATACTCTCTTCCATTCGTGATCATTTTGTGTGTTTATAAGGGGCGTTAAAAAATGGAGCGACACAAGGCTACTTGAATGGGCATTTCTGGATTTAAATATTGCATCAGTGCTCGCCCATCTAAGTAGATATTTAAACTTCCTTCGAGTAAAAACGTCGACGGTGTAAAACGTTGCTAAATGTACTTAAGAACGGGCATTTAAAGCAAGTTTTGAACTTGTATGGACAAAAAAAACCAATGGGAGAATTTACAGCAACTAAGTGACCATTTTCACCTGCGTTTGTTCTTATAGGCGACCGGAAAGAGACGTACTCAAAAGAAAGCATCGAAGCGGGACTAAGATATCTTTTGAATATGCAGCACGATACTTGATATCGTAACCTCAACTAAGTTGTCCGTTCTGACCAAAAACATGTTTCAGAATTTCGGTTAGTATTCAAAAGATAGGTCAGCTAATGCGCGCATATTTCAGTGTAGATGTACAGTTGAAATGCTATTTCATGAAATGCTCGCCGAAATTCCGAAAGATGATTTCGAGTTAAAAGTTTGCTCAATCCACTTTTGTTTGTTTTAATTGATATGCTCGATTTATTAAGAATAATACAGCAGAGTCCCAAAATATTTGAGTCGTATTTGGATGCCGGCATTTAAACTAGCTTCTTTTCTGCAGCCTCTTTAAACAACATTCCGCATAAAACTACTTGATTAGAATAAATCTCCTTCACTTATTCTCCGTATCCTTGCGAATCCAAATAAATTTTATAGATTAAATGAGCAAAACTGTTTGTTCTTTAACCCGTTTGGTAGTAAATTACGTCTTTTTATATTTTATACTTGAAGAGGGAGTACCATTCGGCTTTAAAACTTTTTTCTACTGTTGAATAATTTTGAACACAGCGTGCCATCACACTTGCATTCGCGGTTTAGAGACTACATGTCGTACACTTTCTGTGCAAGAAAACTCATATGCTCCTATACAGCACTGAGATAATGTCCTATGTTGCTCGTAAGATTTTGCGGTTGATTTGGACCACATTTCATGCTTAACAATCAAAAAAATAAATGTAACTATTTGATGCTTTACGAATGATATTACCAGGTCATAAAACTGAATGATTACAAGCTATTTAAAAACCAAAAATTACTCTATCATCGAGATTTGAGAAAGTTTTTAAAACCGAATGATACCCTTCCTTTAAGAATAAAACTCAAAGAAGACGCAGTTTACCGCCAAAGGAGTGGGAGGAGAAACATGTTTATGCGTTTTTTGTATAAAATGTATTTAAATACTAAGTTTTTGAAAATAAATGACTAGAATAATATGCCGTAAGTGGTCGTTTTGCAGGCGGCCGTGAAGAAGCTTCTCCAAATGCTGGCATTCCAATATTGTTAAAATATTATGGAATTCTGCTACATATGATTGGCATTAGAATCACAGTTTAGTAATCTTTTCGAGTTAAAAACACATTCCAGATTTTCTATAAACATATCATGAGACAAAACGCGCACTCTAAGTGTTTTTATTCCATTAAACAATTCATTTCATGTGGGAATAAAGAATGAACTATGTTGCGTGAAGTTTACGGATAGAAGGAACATCATATTTAAATTCCTTTTCCAATAGCATGTTAACTGCATCCTCAGGCAGGTGAGGCGCTGTCATTCAAAATCATCTGCGACATTTTCTTCTTAATTATAATTCATATTTTGTTTTAAGTTTTCGGTCGACCTTAATTTTAATAATGATGATTTCTATGACATTGAAATTCAGGGACGAACGAGGAAAAATTATAAAATTTTCAGGTCAAGCATGCTTACGGCTGGTGCAAAAGGGCAAAGCACAGTTACTTCGCTCGGTTCAGTGGATATGTTGTAAGCCATTTTGTCCGGCGATACCGCGCAAAATATGCCTAAAATTTTTTTCAGAAAAATGCTCCATCAATAAACAAAGTTCTCTCGAAAATATGACATTAGAGGTTGACGTATTCTGAAATGTTGGGCTTTATTTATGCTGTCGCTCTCCTTTATCTAGCATGCAAGATGTTTACATTTGTGAGACGTTTTTTGTGGAAGTTTTTATATTGAACAAGTGCTTAAATTTCCTTCTCTGATATAAATATAGTGGCAGAGGTTTTCTGAAGTCAAATTGTGTTTTAATGGTATCGGGTTGCGTCAAAACTAATAAATTCCCATAAGATTGCTAAAGGATTGATGTCGTCACACGTCCTTTATCAACGATATCAATCGAACTTCTTCAGCGCTGGCTAGACGATAAAATTGCCTTCGATTGCAATGGCATGGTAGGTATAAAGGTGTCCAGGTTGGTAACGACTGGTAAGAAACTACGCGAATTTTATATAAACAACCACTGAAGATACACCAAAAACGTATTTTCAAGGAATAGGAAACATCTTGTAGGACAAATAAGTAATACCATTGTAATTCTCAAAATACAGAAAACATCTCTGCTCTAACGATAAGCATATAACTAACCGCGGACGCTTAGAAGGCATATGAATGTTGCAACGACAGACGTCTGCATATTTGGTCAATTTGCTACGGTGCGCTCGAAGAAACACCGTCGTGTATATATGCAAATTGTTACTTGCTTTTAAAGCGCGTGTTGATTAGCCCATTTAAGAAGGTCAACAATGCAAGTCATATGCGATAGTTGTTTTTTTCAGCCGACTGCTGTTCATTGTATGCATTCATTCCGCGTGGCCAAAATACCTCCATGCAGCACGCCGAAATTTGCCCCAACTGTTCCATTGCGCTGTTATGAGGAAAAAGTACATGAGGTGTTAACTCAAATTTCCAGAGGATTAAATAAATAACCGCATTTCCATGACCATCGAAATTTTAATTGTAGAAATCCTCTCTTTTTATTTTGGAAATGTTGAAAAGTGCAGAATTAAAGACACCTGAAGTACGAATTATATTAATAATAAGGTTTAGTGTTTAAGTAGACGCCACCACGAGTACGACTGAAGGCCAAATCGGGCGAATATGTTTCAGATATAAACTGAGTATCACTTGCATACTTACTATGCCATTCGTAAAACCAAATAGCATTGGATTTTGGCCCCGAATTATTGGAGAATATAGATAGTAAGTAGCCTTGCCAATTAAATACGCATACTTCTAGTTGCTTAATTGTCTAACTAGGTTTGGAAAATTGCAGTAGTGTCACCTAAAGTAGATTGAATAAGGGGAATTTTCTCTGGGCCCAGTTATCCTAACCAGAAGTGCTATCAGGGACTAAGTTCAACAAAACGTTCCAAGTGTTTGTTTTGGTTTTAATAAACCTGGACGTTAAAAGTTGTAAGTGACTTTTTATAAATGTTCGAAGAATATGTTCAATCGGCCATCAATCATTCCAAGTCTTCCCCTTGTTAGACAATTGACATTCCACGTCTAACTGTCGTAGTCGCTATCATTATTCTCGTGAGTTTTCTTGTCTTAAATAAGGTTACTGGAGAGCAGCCGCAGAGTGGATTTCCGCCAATCGGTCCACAATATGTTAGGGGACTCACGAAATAGAGGTGGCTCACAGCCCCGACCCAACAATCAGCTGGCAAATGACGTGGCCAAAAGACCCTGTTCATAGGAAGGAGAAGTCGGCCGTTTTCTACTAACTTTAGTGCCGCTGCGGGTTGTGAAACCTCGTCGAATGAACCGGCCAACGGGTTGCAAACTTGAATGAATTCGATCGTCTCTGATGATGGGTTCGAGTGAGAATCCGAGACGTTAAGCCAATAAACTTCTTGCTCCATTGCTCGTATCTTATTCTCCTGAATGATCATCAGTTGGCTGTGTGAAGTTCGGACACAAGGTCGGAGGAAGCAACCAATGTTGCATGGATAGGACACATCGTTAAATGTGACGCTGTTGAGAGGGTGGGCTTGGGCGATGATGAGACATTCAAGAAGCCTGGATGTCCACCGAATATCCAGCCAATTGCCAAATCATTTTGCCTCCTCTATTACCAGGCTTAACGAACCTTACTGACAGGAGACGGTGACGGTGTGCAACAATCCGGGTCGCCAATTATCTCTGCGGTCAACGAGGGTGGGGTCAACAAGATCACTTAAAGGCAGGCATTAGATTCAGCCTCACAGTCGGAATTGACAGACTGCACATCAAATGTGCGCTGTGTTGTTGGGGTCCGTGTGCGAGTCCCCCCCATTACCCGAAGCATCGAAGCTTAAAAACCTCTACCGGCGAACGCTTTTTCTTCCTTTGAAATTCCACCCAGGAATCCCACTCTCACTACTTGAGATATGCAGTTCATCCTGTTCTCACAACGGGGAACGGCCCAGTCAGCATATTTGACGGCAGGCAAAGAATCGCAGGCTATGGCGGTGTAACTGTCAACCCTAGGCCGCTTTCTACTCAGAATGCCCAAAATCATCCTGGAGGGCACAGTTAAGGGAGACGTACCCAGGATGAGTGAGGAGGAGGCTCGACTTGAGTATTTCGCCGATAAATATTGAATATACGGACTTAGTTCTCGCAGAAGGCAGAAGCAGACTGTGAGCTAGTAAAGTGGTAGATTCAGGGTACTGATCATAACCTTCCATGCCAAGTGTACGAGCAAATTTAACGATGCAAGCAACAAGGACAATGGGGTTCGCGTGCCGCCAGCAGGTGCCGATGCTGAGGAGTCTCCCACTTCGCCACACGCATGACTTACCAAACGCCAAAAGGGAGACAATCACTGAAACTGTAGGCGCATATCTTAAGAATTCGGATCATCTAAACGTTAGGGAGAGTAAATGGAAGCAGCACGTTTTAATTTAAACAATCTCGCCAATCAAAACGGTTTGTGTACACAAGACTAAATGCCGCAAAATATGCCAAATAACCAGCATGATTATTATTTTGACAAGTCTAATGTCAGTCCCTGAATTTCAGCCTCTGTGAGCGTCAGAAATCATGTCAGTAAGGGTACAGTTGAACGACGATAAGCAGATATGTGGAAGATGATATGCGGAAGCTACGCCAGTTTAGGGCGATGGGCAATATCACCGTGAATTCGACTGGTAGGTCTCTTGATTGTTGCAACATGATGTCGTACAAGAAAATAATGCACAAAGGCAAGAGGGGAAGCATGCAGAAATCCCTCCATAGTATAGCAGAAAATGTGACAGAAAAACAGCGAATTATAAGAGGGAGAATAAAGGCTTACTGTATTAAATCTGGTGGATTCCATACATTTCTGTGTGCTGGACGAGTAATTCAACTCACGGCCTTCCTCCTGCTGTTGTGGGTTTAAATCCTACTGAGTCGTCGCGTTTTTCACGGTTGGGTCAAGAAAAATTATTCAAAATCTGCCAAAGCATCTACTAATTACAAGAGCCTGATAGTCATCTGGCGGTTTCTATGAAATCCTCTATGGACAGTCAGCTTACCGTATCAAATTTGGTAGATTTCAGTCGTTAAAGTAGGCCGGAAAGGTCACTTGACTTCAATGTAACTAAACTCACGACTCCTGATGGGGCCTCGTAGCTCAGGTAGCTGAAGCGCTGGCTGCACTCAAGCCTTCTCCTCGCTGCCCTGAGTTCGAATCCCACCGAGGTCGTCGAGTTTTTTACAAATGCCATCTACAGTGCGTGACCTATCTCATGAAATGGCTGAAATTCTGAAATGCGTTTTCGATTAGGAAGGATTACTTGGTCGCGGTTGTAATACTGATTATCTCAAGACATACTCTTATAACATTTTGGACTCGGCAGGATATCGGCTTTTAAATGCACTTCTTTTCAATCTCCTGTACAAAGCGTAGCTGGTAAAATATGACTACTTAAGTAGCATGCGTTTTTCCCCATTGATTTCCGATGGTCTTGCAAATTTAAATATATTTTATAGAAACCAAAAACAAAAATATGCTTTCTTTTAGTCAATCAATAGAGAATCACGTCTTCTTTATATTTTATACTTAAGGAAGGAGTATAATTAGGTTTTAAAGAGTTTTCTAATTGCCGATTAATTTGGAGCCTGATCATTCGTTGCATTAGCGCTTAGTGATTACACTCTACAAGGTGCATGCGTTCCGCGCAAAGAAAATCCCATATTTTTCAATGTCATTAAATAGATATCATACAGGGTCCATAAAATTTTGCAAAGGATGCGGACTATGTTGTACATTTTATGAGAAGCAATGGTAAACGGCCAGGTACGATGCTATCTGAATGGACATATCGCAGTCTTAAAAAGTCTCATAATTGGAAACTTTTTAAAACCTAATTATACTCCTTTCTTAAGTATAAAATATAAAGAAGACGTGATTTTCTATTGATTGACTAAATGAAAGCATAATTTTGTTTGTAGTTTCTATAAAATATATTTGAATTTCCAAGACCATCGAAAATCAATGGGAAAAGTGCATGCTACTTAAGTAGTCATTTTTTACCTAGCACGCTTTCTACAGGAGATTTAAAAGAAGTGCATTTAAAAGCCGACATCCTGCCGAGTCCAAGATGGTATAAGAGTATGTCTTAAGATAATCAGTATTACAACCGCGACCAAGTAATCCTTCCTATCGAAAACGCATTTCAGAATTTCATCCAACATTTCATGAGGTAGGTCACGCACTGTACAAATGCCCAGGTTGGGGACAGTTACGTGTTGTAAAGAAGATACACACACGATCACTGAGACAGTACGTGTATTAGTCTGAGCTTTCGGTCTCGTACGGGAGGCCATCGTCAGAGGGATCGAGAACGCTGCGTCAAATGAGTAGTTTTGTAGTCAAGCCAAAAAGCAGAGGTAGGACGGCAGGGGGTGGTGTTCTCGATAAGGAGGAGTCCGCACCGTCTCACGGCGGCGTGTCGGCGTGCAGACTTGACTGGGAATTGGGTCTCGCCTCCTGGCGGCCGCAG